TCGCGGCATTCCTCCGCTACTCCGACCTTGCCTCCATCCAGTGGAACGACATCCAGTTTGACGAGGAGTCTATGTGGATCCTAATCCCGCACTCCAAGACGGATCAGGACGGCAAGGGCTCATGGATCCCAGTTGCTCCCACAACTGGACCTTACTGCCCAGTCCGTTGCACCCAACGGTTTCTGCAACTTGCGGGACACCCCACCACCCCGCATGGACCATTGATCTGTGTCTTTAGCACCAGCGGCAGGGCAACCCCTCAAGACAGCGCTCCGTCTTACACAACCATCCAAAAATGGTGCCTCGAAGCCTTCGCCAAGGCTGGGCTCGACAACAGACACCTCGGCACCCACTCTTTCCGCAAGGGCGCCGCAACTGCGGCAGCTAACTTGTGGATCCCCGACCGGCTCTTCAAACGACTCGGTCGCTGGCGCAACGATATGGCCAAAGATCTCTACGTCACCATTGCGCACGACCAGCTCCTTGCGGCGTCCACGCGCATCCAAGACGCTTCCGCCGCTCCATCGCCCAGTCACCACCAGTTGTCTATCGAGCGACATCGCCAGCCCCTGCTACACATGCCTCAGAAGACCCATATGAAATGAAGCACGCTGCCTTTGCCAAGATGACCCAAGCAAGCTTTCACAATTGCCTCGTTCGCCTTCTTGCTCGTGCCTCCCTTTTTTTTTCCTTGTTCTAGCTCATACCTTGACTTCTTTGCTACCTAGTTCTTGCTGGTACCTAGTCCCTTGCTCGTGCCTTCTGCTTGCTCGTACCTAGTTTGTGCTCATGTCTAGTCCTTGTCACGCGACTAGTTTTGCCCCTACTTATTCCTAATGTGTGCCATCCAAGCCGCATGCACGCTGGCGCGTTTCGCTCGAGCGCCGCAAGTGTCATCACATTTCGTGCTGGTGCCTTGCGCTGGTGCGCCAGAGCTGTGCGCGCTGGCGCTGCGAGCATTGCAACGGTGCACGCTACTATGATGCGCACTTGGGCAGTTTGCCAGGTGCCAAACGCCTTGGCACCGCAGTCACCAGCACTCGGCGTGCTATGCCAAGCCGCACTGGCACCACGCGCACCGAGACGTTGTGCGCATCCTCCAAGCGCTGGCACCTCGCTTGAAAGCCCCAGTCGCGCAGGTGCCAGGCGTTCTAATGCCCCGCTTGGCAGCCCCTATAGAGACTCGTTGGCGCCTCGCACGTTGCGCCAAGGTGCGCGCAGGCGCCAAGCATTCTGGCACCACGGTTGTTAGTGTTCGGCTCGTTAGGGCCAGGCGAGCTGGTGCCGCGCGCGTCTCGCTTGCTGGCGCCAGTTGGGCTGGCGTGGCTCTCGTTAACGCTTGGCGCATTAGGGCCGTGCACGCTGGCTCCACCCTTGCTAGCGCCAGGCTTCCTCACGCAGTGCTTAGTGGAGGTGTGCACTGCCTCTGCGATGAAGGTGAGTGAGTCTACATTTTGCATGAATTTCATGGTCAATATTCTACCCTCTCTCTCCCGTTGTACTACTTATCATTCTGGTGGCAACATTCTCGCTTTTGTTCCTTTCATCCTTTCTCATGCACTCTCATCAATCCATTTTGTTTGTTCATGGCTTTTCCTGGCTAGGGCTTCCCGTTTCTCATTTCAGAACCCGTTTCTAGTATCTTGCAGCTTCAGCATCACCTTTGCTCTGTCGTTGCAGGTCCAAGGGAGATGTAGCCAACGAAGTATTTATATTCACAGTAAAAGTCATCTTTTAATCTCTTCTATTCTTCTCCAGTTCTGTCGTTTGTTGACAGAGTCTGGGCTAGTAAGTTCAGATTCTCCAGATTTGCTTGCTAGGATTTTAAATATTATATCGGTGCTGCAATTTTGTTTAGATCTTGAAGCCTGAACTGTTTCGATCGCTAGGGCTGACGCGCCTTATTGTTTAGGTCGTTTTTAGGGCAGTAACCCATTTTGACCATGTGTCGTGCTAAGGTCGTATGCTTAGGCTGCAAACAATTGTGATTAAGTGTGTAGGTCGTTATTGCGGCGACAAAGCGATGGTACGAAGTAGTGTACGAGTTGTTACCTCAGTGCATGACATGGTTCCGCTATTGCTGCTTTCTCTGGACTTTTCCTTTTCCTGTCTCTCTTTCGCTCTTAGTCCTCCTCTTTCCCATAATGTTTCATCACTCTATCACAAAGAAAAGGATTGAACTAGAATGTGTGTGTACAAGGATATATAGACTAGGGTGTTGTACCCTTTAAGGACAGTACAAAGTCAAGGCCCTAGCAAGTGAGAGGCTACAGGAACGAGACCCAGCTGTACACAGTGCCGCTGATGATCTTAAGGCGCAAGCGCCTTCGAAAAGATATCAGATGAGTTGGCACCGGAGGCCAAGTGTACTACGCGCGCCTGGCGACGCTGCTGCAGCTCACGCAGGAGGAAGTACTGCAGCTGGATGTGCTTTGCTCTGCCCTCTAGTCGAGGCTCCTGACACAAAAGGATCATGGCCCTGTTGTCAGCGTACAGGACC